TCTTTCGGCCGCGCACCGTCGCCGTAAGCCCATCTTTATCTCGCCTTCTCGTTTATTCGCTCTCTAAAGAAACACCCCGATACTGGCACAGACAAAACATAAATCATTATTCATAATAAGCTCTCGCGACAAAAAACCTGTACCGACAGATCTTAGCTACGCTAAATAATCGCGGTCGTAGTTCTCGCTCCACCGGACGTCTCTCCCCCTCCGGTTCTTTGGAAGGTCTCGAGATGATCATTCCGCAATTAAAGGATGCCGCTGTGGGGATTCGGATGATTTCTCTTCCACCCATCTTCGAATCTTCGTAAAAAGCACGCCCACTTTATAGAAATATTTACGAAAAAAAAAAAACAGCATCGAATACATTTGAGAGAATATCTGACAGTTACGACCTGATATTTCAGTTGCTTGGTATGATTCAGCGTTTGCAATGTAGTCAAATAATCTAAGAAATTACAGTTACAAATTTTAACGATTTTTATTTATTAGTCCTTACTTTAATCTTAAACACTATCATATCAGCTTGTTTAATGGAGACTTTTAAAGAGATGATCGCATTAAAACCTAGAGTTAAATTGTCATATTTGTCTTAAAATGACGCTAAATTCGGCCGTTGCCAAAATAAAAATACAATACGCAGTTATTCGATTTCTTATAACAATTTGTCGATTTGATAAAGATACTTTCTTCATCGTCGATACGTCTCCAAGTATTTTTTTTGCGACATTCTTGTTTTTTTAGGGTGACCGCGGAGCCCGTGGTAGAAAGGATTTCGTCCGTGCGATAGACGGTTAAGCATGGTGAAGAACACGTCTTCATTTTAGCGGTCAGGAGGTGCCGGTGACATTCCAGGGATCTGCAATGCGAACTGAGCGGAAAGGACGCGACCCCGTCCCCGGCCGCAATGGCACGAGGGGATCGACGTCCTGGAGGGCGTCGCCGTCCTCGCCGTCCTCGTCGTCCACGTCGTGTGGGTCCAAGCGTTCCGGACATAGCACCGCGTCCCCGCGATCATCGGGGTTTTGCTGCCGCGCGACCCGAGTTTTTCGTGCGGCTCTTCTCTGGCGGTAACTCGAGGCCAGGCAAGTCAGGAGTGCATTACACGCAATTAGACGCCAGGGTGGCCCCAAGGTATGTCCGACAAACGGCCCTCCTCCTCACCTCCCTCTACTACATCGCATCGCGTCGTTTTCCTCCTCGTTTCTCTCTTCGTCGCTTCCACGCTACGCAGTTCACCCCGCACTCGTTTCCCGGTGACCCTTATCGGGCTATCTTTCCTTTTTGTGTTATGATACCTCGAGAGTACGAGAGATCGATTCTCCACATACACAGATTCTTATTTCTTCATCGGGATGCACATCGTATTGTCGTTCGTGTGACCCTCGTAATGTCGTTCTTAAAAATTGTTATTATTCTAAGCGGCGATCGTAGTAAGATCACTGATTGAAGTGCAATCATTATTACTATTGCTAATTATTGAGACCGATTGGAGAATGGACAGAGGACATAAACTCTATTACGTCCAATTTAATAAAATCGAGAAACAAACAACAGTGGAATCATTTAACAATTTTGTGTTATAGATTTCTATTAATTTTACATGGGGATATCATCTATTTGCACATTGTTCGTACACACCGAATCTTATGGATAAAAGATATACATTTAAATGAGATATTTCGAAAAGTATCTTAAAATAGAAATATCAGTTCTATATTTTTATACTAAATTGTAAACTTTGTTGCAATTGTAACATCCGTTATTAAGTTAAATGGTAGCAGGCATTCAATAGTTCTAATGTGATAGCTTTAACGACAAATAAGGGTGTGGTATGCGTGTCGGTCACTTCTGCGTCTGCAAAAATGAGCGTCTAATTAAATTTGTCTGTGTGCGAACACGTGTTTCACGCTCTTACAAATAGTCAATGGAGGCTGCGACTATCGTCGAACCGCATGGCGCACCGTGCTGTCGTCGCGTAAGAGTGAGATACGATCTATGTTGAGGGGGAAGAAGAAGAAGAGAATGAATGGGGAGGGTAGCGAAGGAAAAGACTTACGTACATAAGAAGCGGTGGCACCGTTTAACACGGGATGCACTGGCGCGCTTTAAGTGTAATTACCATTGGCGTAATTAATTTAGCTAAAGAGCCGGCATTAATTTACTGCGCGTGTTTGATTTTTCTTCCCTCCGGATGCTCTTCTTTTCTTTGTTTGCGTTTCAAGTGTAGTTGCGTATGTCAAGTTTTCTTCTTCCGGAACTCGCGTCTGTGTTTTTCGCACTTCTTTCGTTTTAAGCCTAATCTACAATGTGTTCCCTGCGTCTAGAAACATTCTATTTTGTAGTCAATAAACACGTTTAAAAAATTTGCCCAAGGTGATAAATTTGTATTACATATTATACATTGCATAATTGTACATTGTCGACACATTTTTTAAGCGTTTTGATTTGTTTATGTAAAGTAGAATGTTTCTAGAACAGAAAACACATTGTAAATTAGTCTTTAGTGTTTCTTTGACTAATTATGTTCAAATACAACAAATTTTTAAAAAATCACAAAATTTAGAAGATAATTCAACAGTTTAACGTGCTTTGTGTTGTTTCGTTAAGATGGTTTCGCTAAAAAATATATTTATAAGTTGTAGAATACAAAATAATTATACAAATAATGCATTAAAAATATAGATTGCACCATTTGATAATTGCATCGACCGATAATTTGTGTTGCAATTTGATTTTTACTACTTGCTCGATAATCCAGGTCGAGGTAACCGAAACCTTTGCTATTAAATGCGTGTATACACTTTACACGCATTGGTAAGAAACTCAGGCAATTTTTGCAGACCGCACAGCATGCGATGCATCATCAAAAAAGCAAACGTGTGTGAATGACGCGAAATTACAACCCAAACACGAGACCGTGAAACGCATGGTTTATTACGGGTGGCGCGTCGGCCTATTGACAGCAAATAAGTTGTTGAAAACTCACCTATTAGCATTTTTTATCTATTTCTATGTGAAAATAATTAGCTCTTTTGTTATTCATAAAGAAAAGAGTTTCGTTAGGTTTTCCTTCAACAAAAATGTCGTTTCGAATGAAAAATAAGTTCTCGTTAGAAAATGACTTTTACTAAGAGAGAAAGTTTTTGTTATCCCACCAAATTCTTTTTCTCATATTGCAGCCACATATTTTATCTTGTCACTTTCTAATATTAAATCCTCCTCGTTATTTTCCTTCTTTTCCACCGTTGCCTAATTCAGAAGTTAACTTTCATAGTCCCATCTGTGCATATATTCCTTTTTAAAATTCTGCATATTCTTTTCTAAGTTTTATCTATTTTATATTCTGTTTTATGTTCTGTTCATTTTACGTTCCGAGTGTCATGCTTTTCTGACAGGTGTACACGTGATAGCAGACAGTTTTGCTGACATTTATCTTTTACGTTGACTTTGTTTCTTTTACGTCCTTTATAATTATTCTGTTCAAAACTGATCTTGTGAATAAAGACATTTATAAAAAATGTTTTCTTGCTTTTTAGTAGAATTTAATCCGCGTTTATCTTCTTTTTTCTATATGCTTAAAAAAGAATATTTCTTTCAGTAATGTTTGCTTAAGAAAAAAAGTCTATGTGAATACTATTTATATGACCTAGTTTAAATACATATAGCTTTTCCTATAAAACTATAGTCATTGTGACAACGTATGTTCCGGATGTAATCGGCAAAAGACATGATAAAGAACTAATCGACACTATGCGTTTAAAGGGCGCGATCGCAGAGTCCATTGGCACTGGTTGGTGGTCCAATTAGTGCAGTATCCGAACGTACGCGGGGTGGCTGAGCAATTGTCGCAGTTGAGCCGCCATATAAATTTCTCAGTACGACCGTCGGTAGGCCGGTTGACTGGGCTAACTGTGCACACACAGTGAACTTTCTTGCGTGGTCGCGCGGTGCTCACCGCCGGCGCGGTCGCTAAAGGATATTAAACGCCTTCCTTGTAGGCTGACCGATGATTGCACCGACGACAGTTACTATCTGGAAACTGCCGCCTCGTGTAAAACGGCAGGGACACAGACCGGCTATACAGTTAAACGTCGCCTAGCAACAAGGTTGCCTTTAGAGCAACGTTGAATGCGACGCACCCCGTGTTCTCACGTCTTTGTTACTTACTCAAATGATAGCGCTGATAGTTTCTTACAAGCGAAAATACCTACTGCTGAAAGAAAAAGTCAGCAGTATGATACAACTAATTGAGATAACAAACTCTAACCATTGACAGTTTCAAGCATATCTTTGCACATTATTTTATGTGGACATGAATTTTTGCATTTTCTCAATTAAATCATATCATTGCTCTCGCGATTACGTGCTTAATGTATTACGGAATTTATTTCTGTCGTAAATATGTAAGAATTACGAACGGAATTTGTAGATGTACGTGTGTCATGTAATATAATGGCATTGAATGTTTTATATTAAGCATCGCTTCGAAATAATGGAAATAGTAGCTAAGATCTGTCAAGGTGAGAATTTACTTGGCAACGCGTGATGAATGGTTATGTATAGAGGAGAAACTGGTATATGTATCTCTGATGTCAGATACCATTTGCCATACGAATCTTTTTTATTATAATAAAAATAAATGTAATATAACTATCATTCACACGTAATTCGATTTCATCACTGAAATCAATGGCGTTAGAAGAGAAACGTAGGAGAGAATAGTACTCTGACCTCTTCTGAACAGAAAAAAATGCAGATTCGCGTAGGAGTGTCTGGCGTTTGGCCAAAGATCGCTCTTCTGTTGGCTACTTAGCTAGTCGTTTCGAACTGACTCGCTGAATAGCTTTTGGTTATCCTACGACCACCTAGCATCGCGAAAAGTTACTGTTTGATGTGAGTGAGTTTCGCGTGATGACGATTCGCGTACGGTGTTAAACTGCTACTTGATCCACTGATTTCACGATCTCGTAACATTCGGTATGTAAATGTGATATGTGATATAATAGAGAAAATAGAGATTTGATCACCGCAGCATCGTGACTTGTGAGCACTAAACAATGCAATGTATATATGTATACTAGCGTACTGCGTATCAGTTTTGAATTTAACAAATGTAACTCGCAGTTTTCTATAATATTTAACTGTATACTCCGATATTGGAGATTCTTGAAAGTTCGTAATACTTGATAATTCATTACAGTCAATTTTTCTCAATAGTTGAATTACGATTAAGTATATGCACGCTAAATTGACACAACTAAAAGTAGATAACAAATTGTGGCTCATTGTGGAAACTTATTGAAAAAATTGACAATAACGTTTTACAAAACTTATATGATAATATAACATTTCTGATATTACATGCACTGACAAAATAAATATTTCAAATTGTGACGTCTATGCTACTATAATGCAATGTATGGACCTTGTGCTAAATATATTCTCTCGATTGTGATTTACATGGAGTGCACATAAAGAAAAGATGAAGTATAGAAGAACGAGATAATAAATATCAATAAAAATTATGATGGTTTCTTTCTATTCTTGCAATAACATTTTTTATCTCTGTTTATAGTAAATATTAATTCACATTGTATTAACATTTGTTCATAGTTAATATTCAACGATTTTATTAATATGAAATATTCGTTTTTTAAAGGTACTTCTTCATATACCATGGAAGATACTTCTTCATATACCATGGAAGAGGATATTAATTCAGTGAAAAAATGTAATCATCAAAGCTGTAAAAGCAAAGAAAAGCCTGGTATAAGAAAACTTTTCAGGAATGGTAAAGAAATTAACATTATAATGTGAAAATAGAAATATGACGAATTTCGTTTTATCAAATTTAAACATTTTGTTATTGTAGCTTGGCGTAGAATGAAGATTGTGAGTGGTGGAAGCAATCGCAGAGAATCAGATAATGATGACACACACTTATATCGTACGTATATTTTTACTTATTTACGAAGACGTTAATTTGTTTTAATAATATTTATTAAATATTGCAAATTTAAATGTATTTTTTATATACTTAAAACAGTTTAATGTTGTAAGTATATAATGCCATGCCATTTGTCAATATTGTAGCAACTGTTGATATGTAGAACATGCAATGCAAGATAATTTTAATTAAATCAGTTCTTAATTCTTCCATTTGTAAGTTTATTAAATGTGTCCAATGTAGGATATATTAATTAATAAAAATACAAATATTACAGAAAATATTTTCAAAATGTTTAGAAATTCTAAGTAACACTAAACACATTGCCAGATGTCAGCACAAACCACTTTCTCGCACTAGCTTATCTTTACCAACGAATGGTAGTCAAGATAGCAATAAATGTGATAAAAGATTATATTGCCTAATGCGATAACAACACTTTTCAGCTATGTACAACAAAAAATTTTATCATAAATTATTTCAAATTATTGCATTTTATATAAAATACATATATCTAAAAGAGAAAAAGAGTACTCTCTCTCTCTCTCTCTCTATCCCTAATATACTCTTTAAAAAATATAAAATACAAAATATAAATCATTATAGTATATTGTTACAAAAATGTAAATATATATCTGCACTATAATATTGTAAATTAATAACATAATTAATAACAGGACTTTTTGATAACGCCTCAATATTTTATTAATTATATTTTTTATTTACATATACATATATTGTAATTCTCTCTCTTTCCCTCTCGCACAAACTTACACTCTAACGAAAATATTTCTAAAAAATGTATCACTTAATTAGGTACTAAATGAAAATTTATTCATATAAATTGTACTAGTAGTAAATATATCAATTACGTGAATTTATACTATAATTATATAAATGCAATTTTTTAAATTAATAGTTTATAAGCGCAAAATGCTACTAATGCGACATTCATGTAGATATTATATTATTAATGGTATCATTTTTTTAAAACGTTTCAATATATCGATTTATCTTTCGGTATAATATGTATGAAATATTCACATGTGTTCTAGAACTTTGACATCAGAGTCAAGAGTTTCTCTTGGTTAGAGTTTGCAGTTATACTTAGAGTAAACTGTTAAATTTGTTTAGGAAACTTTAATGTAAATAAATGCATAAACCGTTATTGTATTATTCATGTATGGTATCCCAAATTGGCACATTTTTTACAATTAATATTAAAAACTGTATAATACAAACTATGTAACATGCAAAATTTATATGATATGCCAACTAATACACGAAATCATGATATATTGAAACAAAATGTAATAGGCAATACAAGTGCTTTAGTCTACATATTGTAACAGTATTAAGAAAATTTTATATATTCTTGAAATGCTAAATTTAGTACTTGGTGAATTTTGCAGCAAGAAAGTACAGATATAATAAATGAAGATGTAACTGTCAAGTCTCTAATGTACACAATATGAGATGTAAATTTTTGTGGATATTTTTCCTACGATATTGCGCGAGAAAAACAGGTGTAAGTAGAGAGAAAGAGGTTCAGACTATATCATGCACATCATTAATAATAACGCTGAAAAATATATAAACATGAATATTCAGAGAGACTAATAATGATCATCTGACACAATCCTGACAAATAATAATTAGGTATCGTAATAATGCAACGTTTGTTCTATTATTCTTACGTTTGTCTCATCAATTTTGAAAATATCTAAAGTATTTTCATTTATATATTACATAAAAACTTACTCTTTCCAATATTTAATCTTTATAAGCTTTATCAATAAAAGGATATTATTAAATTGAGTGGCCAATATTTATTAACTTTACGTTTTTGAAATTTTGTTATGTATTTCTTTCTAAGAAGTAAGTTATAATTACATAGGAAAAGCTGAAAAAATTTTAATAGTATTTTCTTAATTATTTAAGCATCATACTTCGAGTATAATCTGCTTTACAGACTTCAAAGTAACGTTAAATTTTCACTTTGTGCAGGCTAAAATTTTGCTTGAAACGTGTTATAGTGGTTTTCCACAATTATTTATCTTTTTAAGAGAATTATATCAAGTAATATATTCACGACAATTCTTGCTGAGCTTTGCGAATAAAATCGTGAATAATAATATGCAGGGTAAAACTGTCCTCTAGTTTGCGTGCAAGATTCGCATCTGACTGTGCCCGAATTTATTCTTAGAATTTATATCGTGACTGTCTGTAAATTGTTCTTATCTGTTAAAAAATATTTGTTTAACAATTTATAAAAAAGATATGTGAATATTTTTCCTTTCATACAACTTCGAGTATTGAATTTTAGGCAGTTATTAAATACAATACCATAGTAGTAATTTCAATAATAATTTTAATAAGTTTTTCTAAATCAACCACAAGCAAATTCTTTTTATTCTTAAATATATATATATATATATTTAGCAAAGAATTCTATTAATTAATAAAACTATCTCTACTTTTTTTCTTGTCCTCGCGTTACATTTTACTTTTACACTTTTATCGTTTCTTAAGTCACTTAACTGTAACATAGACTAGTTATTTACAACGTCATGCTCGTTAGTTATCTTCAAGTTTTTCGAAAGAAATAAGATCGCGTGAGAATATTTCACGGCGTTCTCAGCTTTTCTTAACTTCTCCCTTCTCCCTTGGTATTTTTTCCTTGTCCTAAGACGTCTGAATCACCAGCGAGCAGAGGCGTTGTACTATTTATCTCCATCCTGACGGTCTCCTTATCTAACCGAAACGACTTCCACGTCTTGCCATTAATTCCTGCCGGGAGCCACAATTAACTTCGCTTCTGGAGCGAAAATGAAAAAATCATGCTGATCCTTAACTGTCTATAGTCATGCTTTCCACCGTCTTTCTTTTATCATTTTAGCTGAGGTATAACCATAAATAATGCAAAACGTCATCTGAGAAATTACATTGTAGGAACCCTTTGTGGAATGTTTAATATAGCCCCTGGAGGATATTTTACATTTCATTATTTCATATCAATTTGCATAATTGAATGTGAACTTGAATATGCAGGATGAGAAATGGTGCCGCATATAATTTACACGTTTTCATTTTGTTGGAATTATTATTTTAGTGGTTATATTTGGCAGTTCTTGAAATTCTAATTTAATATAATTTCTATTAGCCTACGTATTAATCCATCACATTTTGATATTTCCAATTTTTGAATTTAAAATATATATTAGTTTCGAATAAGCTTTTCCATTTATTATCTTTAAGCACCAATAAGAGCAGATAAGAAAAATAAATGAGCGAGATGAGTAGTTAATATATGATAATTGTAATCAACATGTAAGTTCCGAAAGCATTTGAGGAAATCAGCTTTAATGAAGATAATGCTAAATTTAATTGAAGTAGAGTGTAGTAACGAGAATAGAATGGTACTCAACATTTCCTACGCTTAAGGATGTTCCTCATATCAACTTTGACACTTTGTTTAGATCAAGTGTTTTAAACAAGCAACAATCATATTACATATTCAAGGTAGATTATTTCATTCAAAGTTGCTTTTACGCTTACAATTGTTAGAACACGTAAACATGTCGTAATCAAGTATGTACATCCACAGCGTTTATGCACTAAATGCAAACTAAATTATGAAGAGCACCTGTCATTTAAAGAGTTCTCGTGGGCTGAAGCAACCATGAATAATGTGCATTGGAGTAAAAGAGCACTCTCTGATATGCTTGTTAGCACTCGACACAAATGCACATGCGATAAAGTGTTTCACAGTACTTAAAAAAAATGTTTTAATATGCTGCCGAAGAGTATAGAAATAAAATTGAAATAAAATCTTTTATTAAATAAATTAAATTAAGGCTATTTAACTGAAATGATTACACGCTTCAATTGTTTCACTATTTCATATTCAATTAGTAATTACGATTATCATATAATAATTTATAAAAAGATTGTTTTTTAAGGTAAGGTATTATATAATAATTTATAAGAAGATGTTTTTTAAGGTATTAAATCGTTTTAGTAATAAATGAGGAAATTATTATTGAACGATCCTCAGCCAGGCTAAGGAAATATTTTTCGCAATAAATTTTTTTAATTAGAATTTGCCAGTTTGGTCGTTTAATAATAATTTCCTCATTTGATAATTATTCACTGGCGACAATAAGTCTTTATTCTCATTATTTTATTAATTTTTTTAGTAAACTGCTGTATTATTGTATACAACAAAGTGATTATTAAAATTTAATATTATGATAAATTTTTCGAATGTCCATAAATTGAGTACCACAGGATATACTTTTTAACTTTCTATAAAGTATCAAGTAAATATCGTAAATCTAAAGCCGGAATTTGACGGAAGTTAAGATTATGTCCCAAACCCATCCTTTTACGTTTCACCGATTTCAATTTCTTTGCTTCGTTGGCGTCAATAATTCTGGAGGAGCGTGATATAGTTGACAGAAGCCAAATGGAAATCGAGGGTTGCAAAGGGAGATAAGCCATTTATCCGCTTTCCTCAAAGTTTACGGAATATAAACGTGTGAAAATATATTAGCATAGATCCATGATCCACTTTTCCTAAGTGGTTCAAAATTGAAAGGCGAAAGCTTTCGCGAAATTAAAAAAAAATATTTCTCTCCGGCCACGAGCATTTATGACTACTTTGAGTGTATTTCCACTGATAAGCTGCGGTAAATATTATCTAATATTGGTAAAAACTTTACTACCTAGCGTGTGTGCTTTGAGTATATTTTTATGGAGTTGTAGATTCTTTCGAAAAGCGTTTTGATATTATTTAATATATTCTAATGCAACAAAATGCAGTTAATTTTCAACAAAGCATGTTCAATATTATCAAATTCTTATTGTATAATATATACATGATCTTAGGTTGCCCCAAATTGTATCCGAATTCCAGATCAAAGAGAGAAGTACTTTGATATACTATGGTCTAAATCGGTCCCGTAATTGCCTCGCCATTGCCACAATCCAAATTTTCATTGGCAATCGGTAGCTTTCGCATTAAAGCCACTGCGGTTATCGTAAATTGGGGCAGACTTGAGAGCGTATGCAGCGGTCACAGATTTTGCCACTTGGGAACTTCCGGTATCGCGCTGCGGCGATACAATTTGAGAGGCAGATTAAAAGTGACCCTGGCGGCTTAGAGCATCGACCTCCCAAATGCTTTAACCTTTGCCACTTGCACATTCCATCGTACATCGCGATAGGAACTACGAAGTTTACGCGACATGTGATGCCGTAATATAAATTTATGATTATATTATTATACCGTACATTCTTTTGAAATATACATATATGTACAGAGCATAATTTTAATAAAAATATATTTCATATGTTAAAAAAGGTTTCTGAAAAAATCACGTTTCTAAATACATTTTTATCTTCAATCTTTTTCCCCAACGCAGAAAGTAGATAACATACCCTTAACCGGGTCACCATGTTGAATCCGTCGGCTTACATTTTATTACAACGAGCATATTTCTACACGATACACGAAGACAAGCTCTGCCCTATGTCTATTCTGTACTCCGTCGACCGTCTATACAACCCTACAGCTTTAGTCTGACTTTAGTTGGTACTTTATCACCTTCATCTCCCGGGAGAACTTTTGCAATTAACGCTGTGACAACTAGAGAATGTTAATTTGAGCAAGTTACCGTCAACCATTCGTGATAACGAAAACCTTCCTTTCGCCCGCGACACCGGCAATATGATTACTTTCGTCTTCCATATAAGATGGTTTGTTCGCCTATCTCTCGTACCTCACAAAATCGTCAGAAAATACTTCGGAGCAACCCTCGTAATTATCGGAGATCGACTTTAAAGTTGTCAAAGTCTTTTTTTAACTCTTTTCTGAAATCGCGGTATTAGGCAACTCGAGATATACCAGCGCCGGAGTTAAGTGGGCGAATTTCCGTAACGCCACTTTATCCCATACCTTAGTGCCAAATGTTCCCGGAAGCTCCCCTTTAATCGAGGCGCGGAATTTCACTCCATATTTTTGGCGGAGCTTCGAGCGCCAACATACGCGTTGGCGAACTCGTCGACATGATGTATTCTAAGCACGAACAAGTGGGCTACGTATCATCGATTTCTCGATGAGAATAAAATCCATGCATATAACGGCCACGCGGCATATCGAGCGTCGCACATCCCCGGAAATTGGCGGATAAAGCGAGTAAAATGGATCGCGCGCGCGCAATTTTATGGGAAATCCCGTAGTTGTTCCTCCTTATCCCTTAGCCAAACACAGGACCGCGGTTTGGTTTCATCACAGATGCTCTTATATCTGTCACCGCAAATTGCACTGTGCCATCTGATGCTCGTGAAACAAATGACCATGCGATGATGTACATCCGTTACCAATCAAGCGAGATAAATGATGAGAAGTCTACGAAAATATTCTCATATCATTCTCACGAATACGATAGAAAATTTTAAAAGTCCAAGACAAGCGAAGAAATAAAAAAACTGTTATAATATGGTTAGAATTAATGATTAATAAATTAATTAACATTTTTTAATATAAATTTCTGAAGACAAAGAGTATTACAGCGTGAGTAACTGTCAAAGTATTTTTGTTATATGATATATGTAAAATTCTACATCGTGTCGCATTGCGCAATTTTACAATGCATATAGTTTTGAAAATGTTTACGTTCTTTTGCATATATGTATAAAAATTAATATTCGCACGTTTTATTTCAAACCTTTCTTGATACCTATATGTATACACTGGACCAATAAAATTTTATCAATAGATTTGATTCGATAATGCTTCTATCCCATACAAAAATATTATTTTAAATCTGCTCTTTGCAAAGCTATTTGAAAAAAGTGGATAGCGTCGTGCGAAGTACATTTTATAGATATTCCCGTTTGCGTAAAATGTCTCTTATCTTTATTGGATTTCATGAAAACTTGATTGTAATCTCAATGATTGTAATCTCTGATTGATAACGACATAAAGTTATGTGTTATAAAACGCAATAGTGGCCATAACTATTTCAACGTTACAAAAGTCGACATATCAAAGAAAATATATCTACATTTAATTTTTATTTAATTCCTATACAGTGATTGACCCAATACAATAGTATCAAAATATATCTCAATCTATAGAATGTATTGATACTTTTCTTTAAAGCGTTTCCTTAGGGCCATATTATACATTCATAAAATATCCATTAATTCTTGTTTCAGAATTTATTAAAATTTTTTAATATACAAGTATAATAAAATTGAAAGCGTCACGTATTTGTATGCGTATCAAGTTTTCATCACGTACTACTGGACCAATAATGTCTCTGTCATGAGGTTGCCAAGACGACTACCGACATTCTGCAGGACGTAGCAAACTGAATTGTGCACACGTCCACGTTATAACAGTACGAGCCAATCCAACTCAGCGTTGCGGGGAAGATAGAACCGGAAATAGACACGGTTTCACGAGAGTCTCGTTTGGCGAGCTGAAAAAAGCGAAGCTTGTGGCCAAAGGAGTGAATCACGCGATGCACTCGAGACCCAGGAAATAAAAGCGGAAATTGTAGAGCTCAGTAAAATTCCGGTGAAAAAAAATTCACACGTATGTGAAGTCAAATTATTCGAAAAAAATATCTAACTAATTGTAAGATATTCAACTAAAGACATTTAACTCACTCTGGAACATATTTTAAAATATAGTTTTTAAGATTTTAATTTAAAGTTATCCAGAAACTTAAATTTCAAATAATTTGATAACAGTTAAAAATTTTAGTTTTGAATTTGCAACTTTGTACTATCATAAAAGATAAAAATTTGTTTCATGTGAATATTTCAATCAATTTATTCAGGGAATACAAATTGCACTTAACTTTCAGAAAATAATATGCACTCTCGCGATGAAGAAATAGGGAATAGATATTTTTCTCAAAAAGGGTTGGAAATTTATTGTCGGTTGTTGTTATTGGATAAATTTTCTAAATTAAAATTAAACAAAAATATGTATAATTATTATTTATATGTATATTATTATTTATAATTATACATATTGTCCGGCATATTGTTTAAATCTCACGCAAGAAAAATTTAATTTATTTCATGTAATATATTTTTACCAATCTTTTTCGGTTTTAATTTGATTTAAAGACATGAGAATCATAAATTACTAGAAGAGATTTGGAAAACGATACTCCATTGTAAGATAATGGAAGTACCCCTTTATTCGATGAAACGTTTTCATCAAGTGAAACAGGGCAGCTTTGATATAGCAAGTTTCGTAGACTTACCTTTTAAAAGATGCAAGAAGCAAACTTTCATCGTGTCATTACTGTTAAATGACGTAAATGAAGATGGCGAAGTTTGATTTTGTACTCTGCAGAGTCTCATAATTAATTACTACTTTCTCTATTCTTATGTATCTTCGCTTTTGTATTTGTTCTTTTACATAATATATTAACAGATACACTCAAATATGTAATAATTTGGTATTCTTTAATAAATTTTATGCAATTTAATAAATTTAAATTGTTAAGTGATTTCTAAAATGAGTATGAAAATTTTCGATGGCTACATGCGTCGAAAACGAGAACGAAATATCTGTGCCTAGTATCGGAAATCGGGTCGGATTGAACTCTTTACATGGTTTCACATTTCAGTTCGGAAATATAGCTACAAATCAGAAATCTTACTGAGATTTTATTGATATAATATCTATCGTGATATTTTCCTGCAAATCGCAAAATATGACTGTTCCTTTTTTATTCGATATTCATAAATTGTAAAGCTTATGTTAAAAATGTATTCCAAAAAATATATTTAATTACAAATGTTAAATTATACTAAAATTTTGTTTATAACAATGTAAATAATAATAAGAGAAACATCCTAGATATATTTTAGATAAGATTGTAAAGTTTGTATTATTTTTGTTTTTCACGTTTTCTGTATACATACATATATTTTCTACATTCGCTTTATTACGCATCGACACTTGAACAGCAAATGGATAACTGATTTCACGCTATATCAGATAATTGAATTTCTCCTTGTTTGGTTCGGCCCTTGAGAATTATCGACATAGATTCCAATAAATTACTTGAGTTGCACCTATTTTTCTCAGAGTTCTGATTTCTTTCTGTGAGATTTCGCATACCGATAATGATTGGATGTCATTTTGCCGTTTATAGAAAATTGGAAAAAATGTCATGTTTAGATAGAGATCACTATTCTTGGTTAAATTCTTTTGAGTTGTAATTTCCACATAATTTAATTTTCCCAAGAGATTATTTTTAATACAATTACAATTTTATTACTACTTTAATACTATCGTCCATTTAAATACAGTAATTATAACATATTTGAGACAATTTATAAATTATGAATTTCTAAAAATTTTTTAGTTAATATAAAGTCTGCATTTTTTTTTAAGTACAAGTATAAAATTTACGTAAAATAGAAAACATGATATATTTTTCCTCATTCTAATATAATAAAAGTAATAGAATTGTAAGAATTAGTTAGTCACATACGCGTATTTGTCAGCGTGTCTTACGATTTGTAAATTTTATTGCGAACACTCATGCAGTCTCTGCATGAAAATGTGGAACAAAATGGTCTTAATGCACGAAAATCTGCATTACAAACAACAGGCCATTATCACGTTTTTTACGCCTTTGTTTTCCGCATTTTTGCGTTCGCATTCAGTGCAGCTGTGTGAGCCGAAAGTAAATTGTAGTTTTTACTGCCAGATAAATATTGTTCTCGCCAACTGCAGACAGGTACGAAATCGAAGATTACATTTCAAATAATTCGATTACCAAATGGCAATCGTTATCGTAGCGCACAGGTGATGCAATAAAAAATTCTATTCGCTATTACAAAGTTAAAAGACTTGTAAATACTCTATGCAAAAATCTGTATCCTGGTTGCATATTGTTCTCCATTTGAATTTTTATTATTATCATGTAAATTTTACTTGTCACTTTTATAAGAGACACTTTTTACGTGCGTACAGGTGCGTCAATAATAAATGTGCAGGATGTAAAAATTATATTTTACAAATGAGGAATTTCAACTGGCATTACATGTTGCGATCGTAGATTTATCGAGACGTTTTATTGTCATGGTTTGTGATAAATGATATTTATATGAATGTAGAGCTATATTTTTCGCAAAAGTGATTTGCTTAATGTATTAGAAGATGAACTGCTGCGTTTGTTAGATTACCTGTATAATAGTTTGTATGTTGTAGCTGCAAATAAATATTTGACAATATGATGCAACGTAGATCTCTCGAATAAACAATAACAGTAATGTCTTAAAAATTTCCATGCATGCGTCAATTAATCTTTTTCCGCAAGAATGATTCATGGTTTCGCAAGTTTAAACGTGCACATGTGTGCACATGTGCATTCACACGTAACATCAAAAGTTAAAATTTTGTCACTGTAATGTACAGTCGATACTTGTGCATCATGCTGGATCGTATCGACATCGTATCCAGTTCAGCATTCGAGTTACTTAGCCGAATGCAAGATTATACGTGAACGTGATAAGATTATCGAACGCTGCTGATTGTTCACTTAACGTTATATGAGATCATAGGATTTCGTTTCACTTTATCGTAGACCAGTATCAAGAAAACGAATTTGCTGATACAAAGGTCTGTAATAGAAGCAGTTTAAGTAAGAAATGCTTGTTTTTCGATTTAGAGCACTAAACAATACAGATTTAATATGTATTATCAACTTTTTCCCTAAGTACAAAGTTGGAGATGTATTCTCTTACCATAAAAATATATCATATAAATGTTTCTCGTGTTTCTCAAATTTATATTAGAAACTTTTGATTTAAAATATATTGAGCTTGATCAGAGCTAAAGAGAGTGTGGTATAAAAGTTTAAAAAACTCAATAAACTTTCAATGAAACATTCTTAGAAATTTAAAACTGAATTGCTTTTACACTAAAGACTTGTTTGAAGAACGAATTGGAGACCAGAGAGTTGTTCTAGTCATTAGTATACCAATCATGATTCCTAAACAACGGAGACCCTTAATTTGATCCAAACTACTGAAATGTTATTACCTATTGAGGAAAGTTAGTAATGACTTGATTATTTCGGAAGTGATGCGAGCCAATTGGGGAAATCTTGTTGAACTCGACACACTTCATTAGTGCATGACCTCACTTCGCACACTAAACTTTAATTAGAAACTTTTTCTTATATTTAGTTATTTAATTATTTAATTTAGTTATTTAATTAGCATTTTAACTGTTATTTATAACAGTCAAATGGATTTGGAAATAAATCGAAAAATATTGTAACATATATCATGAATTATTATTTATATCTACTCGTAGTAGAGCACACATATGATATTCGTATTTTACCCAAGGAAAATCAAGTTACAAGGACGAATGAACTAAAATATCATTCTTAAATATCGACAGGGTCACCAGGTACTGTAAAAATGATTGCGGTCTTCTTAAATAAATGTTATTGTACTGCACAAAAAAAACTTCTGTATCAATATCAGCCAGTTAAAAATACAATCGTTAATGCTTGGAGTTAATTATCAATGTACGTGCTATTAAAAATGTTTCTTTTCGACGTGTAATCTTGTTCTTGCACAAATGTATGTTTTACGTATCACAATTGCGTATATAACTACTGGAAATTCAAAGCACAAGAAAAATTTCTCAAATTTTATTTTATATTATAAGAGAAAAGAATGAGAACGATAATGTGCGAGAGAGAGAGAGAGAGAGAGAGAGAGAGGAAGAGAGAGAGAGAGAGAGAGAGAGAGAGAGAGAGAGAGAGAGATTTAAATTACATTATAAAAAACTATAAAATTTGATTTAACTTTCAACAGTATTGAAATTACGTAATTTCATAATTACAAGGGAGAATTTGAAAGGCCTTTAATCCTGTAAATTGAAGCTGTTAAGGAGTCTGTGTGGCTGACAGTACTGCAATGCAATATAGGCTCTACTGAACTGTTCACAGATCAAGCATCTCGTATGAGATGGATGCGAAGGGTCTATTGTCCCACCGTATCCCCAGCTTTGATCGTGGTATTTCATAGGTCGCAAATTAACGTGCTCGCATCTCGTTAAATGTTACCGTTCTCGTGAAATGTTACGTTTCACGGAACCATTAGCCGCATTTTCGACATTTCAAAGTATAGGACAGAATTACGCCCATGCTCGCGTATTTTCGTCGCGCCTGATGCAAATTTATGGACGACCGCTTGCTAACAAATTCGTTAGCCACACAAGGCTGACCACACGTTGAGTTTCTCTACTAAACTCGATCCACATGTTACGGAACCTCTCGCTTGAATCAAGACACGTTCGTTAATGCTGTGTGACATGATTAATTGATATTTAACTTATACAATACGTGAAAATCTGGAACTAATCAAAATTTAGACTAATCAGAATCTAAACAAAAATAAATTTTGTTGAAAACTTTATTAGAGACAATTATATCTTTTTTCCACAAAACTTTTTTTAATTTTTTAATTATTTTGAAATTAAAACAATTTATAATTAATAATTTATTTATTAAATATTAACTCAAATTATATTTCTGCTAAAGGAGTAACATTTATTTTTTACTGTAAATCACTAATGTACTTATATGTTCTTACAAATAATTACTGAAGAATTTCAAGGTATATTTTTGTTACAAAGAAAATGGATATTCACGTTTAGTAAAAGTCGTAAGAATGAAAATAGCACTTCTTGACATATTTCTGATCTAACCTTTTACAGTAATAAAAATAGATTTTCTCTTGTCTCCTTTTCTCTCTTCGTTTTTTACTCCCAAGATTTAATTATTAGTAATAAACTGTTGCATAAAATGCAACTCACCAAATGATGAAAACTTACGAAACTCTTTTCTTCTATCTTTTTCTTTTTTTTCTATTAAACTTGAGTTCCTACCTACTTACTTTCATATCCTGCAGTCTACGTGTACAGCGCCACTATAAGTATCTCTTCATCCTCGATGTGACTTTTAGCACCTCAAATCGACTGAATTTTATCTCTTATAATTCTGTCACTCTATTCGCTTCGCACACAGTATCATAATGTAGTGGGGCTTTTTCTCCCATCTCATCGTACCATACGCTCGTGGCAACAGGTTGCCTAGCAACAGCGCTTACCTCTTCTGGTTAGCCACCAGAACCATTGCTGACGCCGACGATAGCACTTTCGTTCCCATTTGCTCTCGTGGCCTCCCTTCGATTATTTTGCGCAATTTACACTTCGTATCCTACCTTTCTCCGACGCAAGCTTCCAGTTAATGTGCTATCGGTCGATGGAACTGTGTTAACAGACCTTATCACTCTCCGAAATTCACCGTCTCGGAGAGTAGAATGGTTCTGATGATCCGTAGACACTATATCTAGATATCACTAGGGTGGATGATAAGAAGCGGTCTCGCCTAGTTGAGTATGATCCCTCTGGGAACTTTTATGCGCTGGAACGAAAGGAGAAGAGTTATTTAAGGATCTTTTTTCCCACAGCGCGGCGGTTTCGCAGAATGAAAGTTTTATCCAGCTGTTTTTGCTCGTGACCTTTACACGATAATGATTATTTGGTGGGTCTTTTTTAGAACGATAGAAATACTGCGGAAATTATGTGACACGCAATTAAAGTCCTAAACGTGGCTACTTACAATTATAAAATTACAGTTACAAAATACTTAACTTTATAAAATATAAATATAAATAAAGACATAAAAATATAAGTAGAATTAGGTAATAATTATTAAATAAATAA